GGTGTGGTTTTCCCTGAGCAAAAGCTGCAAATACCCGATCATCCCTTAATTGGTATAGCTCCTACACGTTGGGAAATGACCGTACCAATAATAATGTTTCGTTTTTCCAGCAGTATATCCGAAGTAAGTCGATGTGATCCAAAAAAGTGGAAGATGACAGGCTAGAATGAGCATGAGGTGGATGAGCTTGGATGTTTGACCGAATTTCTGGGATGGGTCTCTTGCTAGGTTGTAGAAGACTGAGTTCGGGCTCAGAGACAATTTCTTGGATTACAAGATACAGGCCTGAGAAGTTTTAGGACGAGACCATGGGGACTGCTCCTCGTAGATGCTACCACGGCTGTGGGGGTTGAAGTGAGCTTGAAATCCTTCTCAGCGTGGATTGGCTCGGGAACGAGTGTCAGAATGTTAATATAAGAAAAGGATTCTCGGATCTGATGTGTATTTAGTCGAGGGTCAGGTGTAGTACGACTGAGTTTCTCAAGACTGAGGTTGATTTTGATCGATGTCGAGTTGAAGAACAGGGGATCCTAAAAAGCGAAGTTCAAGCAGGGGATTTGGAGGGAGACAGTCAGGTTGGCGACCACGCGGACAGGGTGCCCTAGCTGGAAGCAGTAAACTGAGCAAGACAGCTCCTTGTCTCCTAGACGTCGGGGTTGCTGAATGTCAATGTACCCTAAAGCAAAATGGCTTGTCACGCAGGGCTGAGATACCACCTGAGAGTTACTTGAAAAGATCAGGATCAATGCTTTCCTGCTATCGCTTTCGTGGGACGGGCCTCTGAGGGGCGATTCCGGTATGCGCAAACAGAGGGTGAGATCAACTCATTTTGAGAACGGTGGATAATTCGGTTGGCATCTGACTTGGCCGTGGTACACCTGATGGTTGAATCGGAGAAGATAGACCGTTCTTGGACAGGGATATGTGATAGCATTTCCAAACTTGTTATCACCCTTTTACTGAATATCTGTTGAAAATGGTGTCATGTTTACCTCAGGCGTCGGAGATTTCGAGCTATGGATCGATTGCGACTCTTTTCAGTCTCCAAATTCGCCCACTTGCCAATGCAGACATATACCGTTCAACAATGTTTTGTGATAGATTTGCACGGCCTCCTAGTTTACGGTGGTATCACATGATTTATGTGAAGCAGAAACGAAATGCCTGAGGATTTTCAGAGCAGGATAAATAAACGTTTACACCCTCGTAAACGTCCACGCGTATCTGAGAAACACCTTTTGAATCACTCTCCCGAGGCTTCTGTGCGAGTACTGAGCGCCGCCCAAGGCTGAAAGATTGAAGATTGGATTTCAACCGCGTTTGTCCCTCCCAAATAAAATAGAACGAATAGAACGACTGGAATAAACTTGACCTTTAACTATTTGCGAAAATTCCAGATCCGCTTTACCAATATGTGAACCGTCTATTGTTTAAGTTGATCAACTCAATGGGCAGTCCGAGGGTCACCGGTGTTCCGCGCCACTCTGGAATGCGATGCTGGCGCATTGTTGTGTTTACATACTGACAACCTTACTACTAGTTCTTCGAAGTAACGCTCAAGATCAAGGTAGCTTTTCTCTAGTCAAAATAAGTTCTTCAGAGTACTGTTTTTCCAACTTCTGTTTCACCATTAATAAACTGAACAAATCAGTCGTGGATGCTGAGACCTCTTGCAAGCGTATCGGGCGAAGTTTACTAACTATTTCCAATAAAGCGGAGCAAACATTCATATCAAATACTCTTGCTCGGGTGAGTGGTCTTATTGAATGTCGTCAATACCACAACTTTTCGATTTTTCATATTTGTCGCTTATGGGGAGTTCATGAAGGGCTCGTAGGATTTCAACAACAAATAGAACCTTAATTTGGTTCATATGCACTGCAACAGCGTTTTTAAGTTCTTGTTCTAGTCGCACTTCGTCTTTGCCCAAGGTGTATTGTTTTTTTAAAATATAATCCCTGGTGGCTTTTACGGTCTCGACGTGCATGTGATGAGCTTGTTTTTTACACAAATCAGTGATACCTAAAGCGCCATTCAGCGACAATGTATAACTGTACAGTCGAAAATGAGGTATTTATCGTGCAGGTCCAATTTGTATGGGACGAACTAACGAGAAATTGTTTACGAGGTTGTGGTAATAGCATCAACCGGTCTCATTTTCGTCACGAAATTGAAGGATAAAATTCTACAATTGTCCTAAGTCGGACTGCAGTGAACTATTTGACATCCTGCGACCCTGCTGCACTGGGGGAACACTTTCTCATTCACCTGATTGGTCGGATCGAGGCATATCCAAGTGTATCATCTAAAATGTTTTTATGTCATTGATTTGGGTGGAGGCGAAAGTGAATTGTCGGTCTCCCTCAGGCATCTAAATTGGGCGTTATAATCAACCTTAGGATGACTGCATCTGTTCTGCTTTATCACAGTCGCAACAGACCTCAAAAAATCCATCCACCAGATTCAGAATCGCGTTCTGTCATTAGGTTTACTGATACGAGAGATGAATACCATTTACCGCATCGACCCGCATCGATCGTAGTTAAACCAGACGACCTTGCAGTGCAAACTTTACTGGGGTCCACTCCAGTAAAGCGTTTTCATCTGTGATGTTGAGTGCAGCTCTCACACCGGAGATACCACAAGCCATTGCATCAGGATCCCCAGCTGCCCAAGGAGTGAAATGTGGAACAGCTGAGCTCATCCTAAACGGCTTTAGATGTGCGACCGAAGTGGAGTCTTGTATGTGTGCTTCAGAGACACATCATACATCAACAGAGATGGGAAGCATGGTTTTGGCAAGAGACGCGTGTTGCCCGACTTGACAGAGTACGGATATTGAAGGCTGCAAAGTGGGTCAGATTTTCGGGGTTACCAAGAATTACTTAGATTTTTTCCGGGCGATAGTTTATACACCGACTAATGGCAGATCGGTACATCATTCGAGTGGAAAAGTGGTGTGACGTGGGTAGGTCAGCGAAGAGCTGCAAAGGCGAATGATACTTCCCAGTTGTCCAGTTCGAAGTGTGTTGGTTGAGGTGTCCCACCTTGGGCGAGGGTCCTGAGCGCGAGAAGTCTTAGTCGAAGTAAAATCCTTCTGTACTCTGCAGTAAGTGTTAATGCAGTTTCATGTGACCAGCATGTTGGTACTTATGGGAACATCGACACCACATTTACCCGATGTGGGATGAATTGGAAATGGTCGACTCCAAAAACCACCGCCCAGTGGTTGACTTCGAACGCCGGGCATTATTCAACACGGACGGAATACTTTTAGTAGTAGAGTCCCGTTATGTTCAAAAGGTACCTGCTGAGCGTAACTGTATTATAAATCAGGCAGTAGGTCCTTACTCCATGTGCCTCCGACCCACTCCAGCCTGCCATGCAAGGTGATCACGCTTTTGAGCCATTGGCTGCAGACAGGGTCTCTCGAGATCATCCTAACAATAGCTGCCTCTCGGTTCAGACTTTTGATCCAGGGGCTGGGAGCATGGTCCTTGAACAAAACCCTGCCTTCTCCCAATGTCTTGAGGGTTAGACTTTTGACTCAAAGGCTCAAGATGGGGTACCCTAATCAAGGCTCTTTCGGCCCGTGCAAATAGGGGATATCGTTTCCTCGCACGTTTCTTTGCCAACTGATATGCCTCCCTAACCGCTCTCCACCATACTGGTAAACGGTGCTTTGTCGTTTTGATTGTCAGTCAACTGGCCGATTTGCCTTATACCCTCTGCGGCCCAAGTAACTACTAATTCTACGATGTTCATCTTACACAAGAGCTTCCAACGGCAGTACTCTATATCAAATTGGCAAACGGTTTCGGCTTGCGCAGACCTTACACGTCCCTAAAATTGGTGTGTGCTGCGCCTGTAAAAGATACGTAAAAGTCCCCTAAGCGTGGTCATGGATCTTAAAACGCCAAAGACGAACTAATCTCTTTCACGTTTCACTCAATCGCTGTCCGGGACTCAGAGGCGATGACTCGTCATAACTCGGTCACGGAGAGACTGTATCTTAGCGCTGTTGTAGCGGTTCGGTGCCTCGGCAACCCATTAAGCTATAGGAGGAGGGGTTCCGCTCAATACTCATGGAATCTGTCATACCAGAATTGTTCAGCTGTAGCACCCCTTCGTGCCTAGCTGCCATGCCACACGAATGAGGCAGGAGGGCTGGGGTACTGTCAGGTCGCCCAAGCCTAGACAGGAAAGGTCGCGAGGCAGAGGTCGGGTTCGAACCACGGAACTTCCGGTCAGTAAATCCGCGCTCTAACTACTTGATCTATCTCGCCCCTTATTTCTGTCATACCAGATTGGTCCATGGGTAGAAGTCTGACAAACACAGTCTCGCTCTCCGGGTTGGGGATCGGGACATGTGGCGGCTTGTTCCGTAAAAATGGCAATACTTGCATTTCCAGCCAAACACCCCTGACGTGCGGTTAGGCTTTTGAGATGCAGGATTTGGTTGAGGACCCCAATCGTCCTGTCTAGGTGCGGGCGCTCCGACTATCCCAGCGCACGTACAATCGTAACGCTTAGAATTAACAATACTCTCATGCCACATCGGCCGTCGCGTGGTGCCATCAGCCGGGTCGCCTCAGTTGCTACGTACAGCAGGGCGGGTAAGAGAAAATAGGCAACTGTGGATGCTTCTCTTGCATTTCCACGTTTTCCGTCTTCCACCCTCCATCACCCAAATTTGAATACTTTCTCCGCAGTCCTAAGCTCTACGGCTGACCGTTTTGCTCGCCCTGCATCACACTCAGCTGCAGCTTCTGTATGTCCGAGCTCAGTCAACCCTAAACACTTCGAAGTCTGTTTTCAAACCCCGAAAGCCTAACTACTTAGCCACCTTCAATGTTCGCACACTGAAGCAAGCATGTCAACAGGTGGCTCTTGCCCGTACGCTGGATTCTCTCTGCATTGATATATGTTGTCTATCAGAAACAAGGACGCAGGACGCAAGTACTGTGGTCGAACTGACTGCCCCCTTGCTTTCTTCCAGGTTTCGGCTGCGCCTTTCTGGTGCTGCAGAGGCCGCTGCAACTGGATATGCTGGGGTGGGTATTGTTTTGAGCGAACGAGTGGAAGCGTCTCTGCTTAATTGGATACCCGATGATAGTCGTCCCTGTGCGGTTTCTTTGGCAACATCGGTGAGAGAATCTAGAGGAAGTTGGGTTCATCGAGTGTTGTTTATTGTGTCTGCTTATTCCCCAACTGACTGTAGCTCTGAATCTGCCAAGGACAGTTTCTATTACGCTTTAGGTGCCCTTCTACATCAGGCTAAAAGCCCAGGTATCGTTGTGGTTGCTGATGACATGAACGCCCAGGTAGGTAGCCTAAGCACTGCTGAGGCCCCGATTTGGATGATCGTCTTGGTTTAGGCACGAGACGAATCGCCGTCAGTTATCTGTGGCGCGGGTCGATCACAGCCTGCCGCTCCTTCTGGAACACCAGCGTGGACTCCGACAATGCACTTGTCTGCTGCTGCTTTTCGTTGCGCTTTTCAAGTGTACGCAAAACGCGCACACTTCGCTTGGCCATTGAGAAGCTAGTGGACCCATAAGTCAAACGAAACTGTCAGAACCCACTTCTCCAATGCCTGCCGGACGGTACGGTGTCGAATATAAACGGCCACAGGGAAAGGATATCCAAAGCGGTACTCAAAGCCGGAATGTCTTTTCGCGACATAACCCAATCAACTTCACCTAAGTATTGGATCTCTGGTAGGGCTATGTCTTTGCTGGAGACCCGGCGACAGATTCCACCTGCCCGCCGCCACAACTCTACCCAGCGCATCATCCGACGCCAGGTGAAACCGAATGTCCGCACAAACCGAGAAGCTTGGTGCACTCGGAACGCCGAGGAAATGGAAGATGCAAAGAATGCTGGAAACGTGCGCAAGCCGTTCTACTTGATTCATTCGACTGGTCCTCGGAAACCTCTTGTCAGCGGAATAAACAGAGATCAAAATTGCTCCCTGATATGCGGCAAAGCAGAACGTTTGGACCGCTGGGTACAGTACTTTGATCAGCAATTCAGCTGGCTACATGCTACCTCCAATCCAGAATCCTGGCCTTCAAGAAAAAGGTGGACGGCAACTGTGTAGCCGCCTTCAGTCTCATAAGTGTCCGAGTGTATTTCTCTACTCACGGGTTATCCTGCTGTAGGTCCTGACGACTCTCCACCTGCTGTGTTCAAGGATGTTGACGGATTTCTCAGCCAGTGCCTCTTTGGGTCTATCTGAAGGAAAGAGACCGTCCCAGACAACTGGTATGAATCGTTAATACCGCCCATCTTCAAAAAAGGTACCCGCAGTAAATTCGGTAACCACAGATTTGTTGATTTGGCTCCTGTTGTTAGAAGGCCTCCGGTGTCAGTATTTCTTCTTTGTCTCACGGTAGCGCGCTAAACTTGTAAGAATCAAGCGGGATTTCGACCAAGTAGAGGCTGTGTTGACCACATCTTCACACTCCGTCAGGTGTTAGAGCAACCCCACATGTACAGACGACTCATAATCTTGGTATTCTTTGATTTCAAGGGTGCGTTTGCTTCTTTCGATCGGTCACTGCTGTTAACCACACTTGCTCAACAGAGTATGCCCCAGAAGTTTGTAAACATAATCCGATCCTTATATTCGCATACTTCTAGGGGAGTGAGAATGTATGGTGAGCTCTCCAAAAGCTTCCGTACAAAAGTGGTGATAGACAAGGATGTCCACTCTCCCCATCCTCGTTCAACTTCGTCATTGATGAAATAATGAGGCGAACCCTGGATGGTCTTCAAAACCCCGGTGTTCAAATTGTTGCTGATGAGAACATTGTCGATCTGGAGTACGCAGATGACATCGCCCTCATCTTTGAAGGCCGAAGCGAAGCACAAGCTCTGTTGAATAGACTGACCACCATCATTCCATCTTTTGTCATGCACCTTGCATCTTCAAAGTGCAAAGTCATGCTTCAGAACATGCAGTCTCCGAACATATCCCATACAATTCAAAGAGAATCACGTGAGATTGTGAAAAACTTTGCGTACCTTGGTAGCTATATTAGCTCTGACGGAAGTGCATCTGATACAGTCAGTGCAAGAATTTCAGAGGCTCGAATCGCGTTGGTTAATTTGCGTCACTTGTGGCGTCAAAAAGGCATCTCACTAGATCTTAAGGGTAGTGTGTACCAGGCTACCGTAAGGGCTGTGTTGTTGTATGGGTGCGTGACATGGCGTCTGCAGACAGGTGATGTGAGGCGTCTTCAGGTTTCCGGTTACCGATGCCTCTGAAGCTCGGCTGGTTTTGGATGGTATCAGTGTGTTAGTAATGAGGTGATTAGAAAATGGGTATTTGGTTGTGCTGCAGGTACTTCAATCCACGGGAACATCCAGCACCACCGACTACGATGGCTTGGTCATGTGCTATACAGGCCGAAACACCGTCTACCGAGATGAGTGTTGTTTTCCGTGCCTCCTTCAGAATGGCGCAAACCGCGAGGTGGACAGCACATGACTTGACAGAAAGGCGTGAAAGAGATAACGAAGAGTTTGGGTCTTGTTGGTGTTGTACGCCTTCCAGAATGAGGTCCCCGTGACCCCGTCCGTGCTTGGCTGGAGACGTCGCAAGAAATGGCGGCTAATCGATGTCAGTGGCGTTCTTGGTGTCAGTTTCTTTCCAGCTTGTCTGCTTGAGGGGTTGGAGGTTTAGGCACCTCAGTATGCTTGACATAGGCCAGAACTAGGTCCCCCCTCACCCATTCTCTTTCTCTACTTTTTACTCTAGGGCTTTTATTATATATATATATATATATATAACTAGACGGACCTTATGATTGTGAGGCATCAGTACCAACACTGATGTTGCTGTCTTCGATGATGATGACGATGATGATGATGTTTACCTCTCCGGAGGCTCCCTGGGCCCATCCACGTGAGCCGATTGGTCAAGTCGCACGGCAGAAGTACCGGTTGGCTAGAGGCAGCGCACCACTGACATAACTTCTTGTTTATTCCACTATGAGAATCGAGTAACAGCCTTATGATTCACGTGTTTGCCTGAAAATGAAAATAATGTTCCGATACCGGGTCCCATATGATTACCCTGGTGCAAAATGGCCCTGTACGCGCATCGTCCATCAACGGGACCCAGGAGACAACGGGTCAGTTCTCCAAGGTATACTGCTTCCAAATAGGATTCATAGATCTGTAAGAAGTTAATAATGTACAACTTATATGTTGCCTCCGGCAAACCGAGTAATCGTATCAGGTGTAATGCTAACGAACAGAGCCTGTTGAGTAAACTGAGGGAGCATTGGCACAGACAAACAGATTCACCAGTGGAGAGCAACAGTTCAAGACTGCCGTTCCTTGTGAGACACACAACTTGATTCCGATGAATAATGATAATAATAATAAATCGGGTTATGTTCGGGACTGGCTGGAATATTTCTCCGAAATTTAAGCAGTGCCACCATTCGGTCTGATATCCAGTGCTTTAGTGCGCCTGGTGGTGCCGTACCACAAGCAGAATTCCCAGCACAATGTAAAGAGGTGGCATTCTCGTCCTAGTATGCGTTCACATGTGGCAGTGGAGCATTCGGAAGAGACTCTAGAAGACAGTTCTGGTAATTTCGTCTAACATCCGGATCTGCCAGTCTCTCAGTTGCCAGGCGCTTTGTTCGCACCTCATGCAGCTCAGGGAAACGTAGGGAGAAGCGTCTCCGGAGAAGTGCGTGGTCAGAATCCACAAATGTGCTTCAAAACGATCGGCGATCATCTATTAATCCGCACCATCGGTAGCTAATGGCAATGTGATCGATTTGAATTTGTGGCCAGTGTATCGTCGGAGGATACCATGTGGCCAGACGACTTCGGCTATTTCGGAAGTTATTACTGCATAAAAACAGCCCGCGATCAGCACACAGCTGAAGCAGTCGTTCTCCAATGTATGCACGTACCGAGTCTAATCCATGTCGACCTGCTAACTGAGTTCCAGATACGCTAAGCCTGTCCACTTGTGCATTCATACCTTCGACCACCCCGATATCTGAGTTTTTAGCTCGCCGCAAAAGAGCATTCAAGGCGTTGGAGATACAGTCAGTTGGGGTCGTAGGCAGACACGATAAACAGACAGCGATCAGCTTCCCGCTTGTGAGACGTTGCCAGGCGAACCGCACAGAGGCGACTGTCAACAGGTGTCCAATCAAGCAAGGATAGTTCCGCCGGGTGACCTAGGATGGTACCAACCTCTGCACATCCCACCGCAGTAGCCTGTGCATCACCACAAGTGCGCAGCCGGAACCGAATGGAGACTGACGGAGCAGTTAGCTCAATCACTGTGCTTGCATCTTGAATTCTCGTTTCGGAGACACAGCACACATCAATACCAAGCGAGTCCAGTGTGTGTATTGGAGCACCTTGTTGTCCTGCTTGCTTCAGAGTGCGACTGGGTGTCGAGGCATGAAGATTGATTTGGGGATACCTGTGGATGTCGGCGCCATGTGACCTCATGTTACGCGCAAAACCGATGCATGACGAACGGAGTCGTCAGTCTTAAGTGCTGGGCCTACCAGGAGAGGGTTATTAGTGGGGTGGGGAGCGGGGAAAGAAAAAATATGTGAAAGAGGAAGAAGGAACGTGTCAGCAGTAGCATCTTCTCTCTTACCCGCCCTGCTGTATGCAGCAAGTAAGGCGACCCGGCTGATGGCAGCACGCGACGGCCGATGTGGCATGAGAGTATTGTTAGTTCTAAATGTCATGGTTGTACGTGGGCTGGGATACTGTTGGGGGACGATTGGGGTCCTCAACCAAATCCTGCATCTCAAAAGCCTAACCGCACGTCAGGGGTGTTTGGCTGGAAATGCAAGTACGTTGCCATTTTTACGGGAACAGTCGCCGAATGTCCCAATCCCGAACCTGGAGGGCCAGGAGACTGTTTGTCAGACCTCTAACCATCGACCAATTTGGTATGAGAGACTTTAGGCGTCGCGGGGACGCCCCGCAGTATACCTCAATGGGTCGCAGAGGTGAGCAAACCGCCCCCCCCCTCGGTAAGGTCCAGTCTCTTCCTGACGGCCTCGCAGGGCCACAACAGAACACGCCCCTTGAGATTTAGGGATATTACGCTATAGGTATCTCAAATTAGCAAACGCGACTCGTCCCTTAGAGATTCGTTCATGAAATTCATCTGCCACTCCACAGCTGAAAACTGCACAACTTCAAAGATGTGTAAAATGCCCTATAACCTCGGATGCATCCTTGGATTCCAAGTTTCGTTTTCGGGAACAGCACGTCCAGGAGCTAGACCTCCCGCTTTGTTGGTTCAAAGCACATGCCAAAGGAC